AAAAAAGAAAACAATATTATAGCTAAAGAAAAAAATGAAGTAAAAATAAAAATAAAAATAAAAAAACATATAGCTATATAATATAGAAAAAGAAAAAATAAAAGAAAAAGAAAAGAGAGTACAAAAAAAGGCTTTAGACAAAGTTAATAGATAGGTAAAAACTAGTAAAAAAGAAGAGTGAGTTAAAATTAAAACAAAATAAATGATCTTAATATAAGCTAGTAGTAGCTTCTCATAGACCAGAGACCTAGCGTCTGTACCTGCAAACTAAAGCTTTTATGAGAGAAATTGTTACTGCAGCAGATTATACTTAAATACTTTAAAGTAGCTAAGTAAGTCTAAAATAGTTGAAGAAGAGTATATTATTATGTTTTAAATAGTAATTTACTTTGTAGCTCATATAAGCATTTCCTAAATAAAATAATAGATAAGATTACTAAAAAAAAAAAGATACTTTTTAATTTGCATAATTTTTTATATTTTTTTGAATTATAATTTTTATTAATTGTAGATTTAACTTTCTACTTAACAGAAAAATTACAATAATTATAAAATATAATTTTTTTATTTTCTTTAAAAGCATTAGAATATTTATTTATACAAGTAAATATTGAATTTATTTTTTTATATCACTATTATATCAAATATGTAATTAAAACAAATGATTAATATTTCTAATATTTATTTTATATCTAGAAAAATTTGTATATAAATTATTATAATTACTAACTTATTTTAAAATTCTTATATTATAATTATTAATAAGAGTAAATTTAAAAGTAAATTAGTAAATAGATATCAACAAGATAAAACTTAAAAAATTTACAGATTTTCTTTAGTGTTATTCAAATATAAATTGCTAATTCTATACTAATTTTATAAAAAATATAATTTTATAATTAACTCTTTATTTTTTTGTATTACTATTATACATAATTAAAACAAATGATTAATATTTTAATATTTATTTTATATCTAAAAAAAATTGTATAAATTGCTACAATTACTAATTTATCTCAAAATTCTTATATTATAATTAGTACTTCTAAAGAGTTATTCAAGTTGGGTTTGGAGTTGAGCTAGTATTTGTTCGAACAAACTTGAGTTTTTAAATTTGTTAAAATTAATTTATACAAAATTTATATAATATTAATACTAAGACTAGATTTTAATCTTTTATTATTTTTATTTATATAATACTAATAGAAAGATGATATCTCAATACTATTATTTCAATTTAATTATTTCTATTTTCTATATATAATGCTAATACTAAGACTTTGCAACTTAATTATTGCTATTTTAAAAGTATTTCATAATTACATTAATATGAAATTTTTTTTTTATTTTTTTTATGTTATTAAGGCTATTTCCTTGGTCAATTAGAATTTATTAGTTTGTTATTACGGAACTATTACATAAACAGTTTCCTAAAGTTTATAGTTACATGATGAGTGTACAACAAGCCACATATACAACTTTAGTTATTGTCTAATTTAAGTAGTCTGTCATACAGATGATCAACTATCTGTTGGTTCTACACTATGCTACCATACCTGCAACCCACCTGTGAGTTACCTATTTAAATACTCTGATCATTAACCCTTCCCCCTATCCCAAACTAACCTCACTACTATGACCAACTGCTTAAGCCAGCTGGTTCATCTGTGGATCCATTCTCTGCATAGCTTAGGTCCTCTTAGGATGCGTATGCCCAATGTATTATGAGCCGCAGAGCTTCAGTTAACCTCGGAAGTAATTCCTACCAAAGTAGTCATATGCTCATTTCACAGATTCATCTGGATTAGACCCTTGTTGATGTTTGTACGAACCCAGTTCCTGCTGTAGCCATCTAACAGATATAGTCCTCCAAGTTCCAGCCAGATATTTCACGAGGTAGATCCTCCCAATCTAGTTAGCTGCTAAGCCAAGTTAGTGTTGGCACTAATACAAGGCACCAGGCTATGTTATATAGCAGACTTACTCGTACCTATTAATCTCACATCCTTCGTACTCAGGTTTTTCACCAGATCAGGTGTTAACTGGCTTGATCGTCAAAATTTGTACTACTTTACCAAACTTGGGATTTCTACCATGCAGGTCCCCTGCTCATAGATTCTATCAAGATTTATTCGTGCAATGTAACTCGAATATTGTGTCACACTTCTAATATCTGATTGACATTGGTACAATGTGATTTACAGAGTTGTAACCTCCAGAAACAAGCAGAGTTTACCGTAAGTTGGGTACAAAGGTCCAGGTAATTATTCAAATTCGTTGACAGTAGGATTTGAACCCCAGACCTCTTGCATGGCAGTCTGGCAATCTAACCACTACACTAAGATTGCCAGACCTTTATTAATAAGAAATTTTAAAGTTTAATAATGCTTTATGTTCACCAGGACTTTAGACACATACATGCATAAATAGAGTCTGCACTAAGACTATATCTTTTAACAAAAATTAAATTAGTTTCTCTGGAAAATACTCACTCTACTAAGACACTAGTAGCAGTAATTATGATAATCTCTAGCTATCCTAGCCAAATTGAAATATTTGGCTTCATACACTTTTTACTATTGAAGAATATCTTGTTTTCTTATTACTCGAAGAGCTTCTAGATATAACTCAACTTTATTTTGTTGATTAATTCTTTGTTTTTTTCTATAAATATAATCTAAACACAAATCATCATTATTATTCATATTATCTTGATTATAATTAGTAGCTTCATAGGAAGATAATTCATAATTATTTTTATAGATTTGAAGAATAGTTGCTTTAATGCTATTGATAAAATCTTTACTCTAATTATTTTCTTCGTAATAATCTAATTTTAGTTTTGGATCAAGAACAGTTGCAATAATATAAATAGCTATATGTTTTTTTATTTTTATTTTTATTTTTACTTCATTTTTTTCTTTAGCTATAATATTGTTTTCTTTTTT